TGCACACGAGCGTTTGATCGGAGAGATTACGGTGAGGAACCGGCCGGCCTGAACCACAACAATGGAGGAAAAAAAATAATACGGAATGATTCCATTTAATTATATTAAATATAATGCATTTTTTTTTAAAAAAATCTCTCATAATTAAAAATATTTATCTTAACTCATCAATGTACCAAGGTACGGAATGTTCTTGGCTGACCACTTTTTTTTTTTTTAAAAAAAAAATCTGGAAATGTGAATGAAACTGACATATTGAATTTGTCAGCTTACTTGTAAATTGGGTTAAATTGGCCGGCAACCCTTGGTCCTCCTCCTTATATATTAGGTTACTTATACATCCCTCTTCATTATAAATACCCTTTTCTCAATTCCAGATTTGCCCTTAGATTTTACATCGATCGGCTTTGAAAGGGCTAAAGGTTGATGCTGTGGAGAAAGGCCTGTCCATGTATGTATTCATAGTGTTATTACTGATCAGTTATAATGATCTTAAAGCGATTTTGGTATTAATTGCAGATTCTTTTCGACGAGTTTTAATAACTTGTGGCTCAAGCAAAAGGGAAGCTCAGAGATGGCCGAAAAATCAGAAACTCTTCAGGCTATCAGCAAGGAAAGCATTGATCTGGTATGTACAATATATGTATATGTATATATATGTATATGTATATGTATATGTATTATACGAAACGGGTGTTGGGCTTGTAGGAAAATATGATCAGATACCAAATGTGATTTCTTCTGCAGGAAAATGTACCACTGGAAGAGGTTTTCGACCATCTGAAATGCACCAGAGAGGGTTTGAGCTCCAATGAAGCACAAGAGCGGCTTTCATTGTTTGGTTACAACAAACTCGAGGAGAAAAGGGTTCGGAATCGAATTCCATCTCACATTTTAATGTCCTCCTAGACACGGTTTTTGACATGATCTTCTTTCTGTTCATCACCAGGAAAGTAAGATACTAAAGTTCTTGGGATTCATGTGGAATCCACTGTCATGGGTCATGGAAGCTGCAGCCATCATGGCCATTGCTCTTGCTCATGGCGGAGTAAGTTCATCATCGTTTCTTCTCTTGAACTGTTACTTGAGAAATAAGTTACACGTTGCTGAGTAATGATCAAATCTGTATCAGGGAAAGCCTCCTGATTACCATGACTTTGTGGGGATTGTGATCTTACTTCTGATAAACTCGACGATCAGTTTCATAGAAGAAAACAATGCCGGAAATGCAGCTGCTGCTCTCATGGCTCGGTTGGCTCCTAAAGCAAAGGTTGCTCCTTTTACATCCTGAAATTTCGATACTTGTTCGGTACGGAAAACTGACTCATCATCGTCAGCTCTTTTAGGTCTCACGAGACGGGACATGGGATGAGATAGATGCTGCTGTGTTGGTTCCTGGAGATATAATCAGTATAAAACTAGGAGACATCATTCCTGCAGATGCCCGCCTTCTCGAAGGAGACCCTCTAAAGATTGATCAGGCAAGATCTCTTTCCACAAGTGAGAGATGAGATGTGAACTCAAGAGTTATTACAACTTGGTTCTTGAACTAATCTTGTCTGCATCCAGTCAGCTCTTACAGGAGAATCTCTTCCAGTTACGAAACATCCAGGTGCTTCAGTGTACTCTGGTTCAACCTGCAAGCAAGGTGAAATAGAAGCAGTCGTCATTGCAACTGGCGTTCACACTTTCTTCGGAAAGGCAGCTCATCTTGTGGAGAACACTACCCATGTCGGCCACTTTCAGAAGGTCAGTTCCTCAGTCTGGTCATTTGCAGAAGAGAAAACTTCTAGTTTTCCAAAAAGATGTGCAAACTTAATGATCAAATTACATATTTCTCTTTCACAATGATTGACAGGTCTTGACTGCAATAGGGAACTTCTGTATCTGCTCAATTGCCGCTGGAATGGCGATAGAGATTATCGTCATATACGGTATCCAACAGAGAGGATACCGTGTTGGAATCGATAACCTTCTTGTGTTACTGATCGGCGGGATCCCAATCGCAATGCCTACTGTTCTTTCAGTCACAATGGCAATCGGCGCTCACCGACTGGCTCAGCAGGGTGCCATAACAAAGAGGATGACAGCCATTGAAGAAATGGCGGGAATGGATGTTCTGTGCAGCGATAAAACTGGCACTCTCACACTAAACAAGCTTACTGTGGACAGAACTCTTATCGAGGTCTTCTCCGTTCCCCTTTCTTCTTACATGTAGTTAATGTCAGAATCCAGACAGGTTTGTGTTAAAAGTGTTTATAATGTTCATCCGTTTTTTGCAGGTTTTCAAGAAGGGTGTTGAGAAGGATACAGTTGTGCTCATGGCTGCGAGAGCTTCACGTTTGGAGAACCAAGATGCCATAGATACCGCCATTGTTTCAATGCTGGGAGACCCGAAAGAGGTACTTTAATTGTTCAGAAACAAAAGTGATAGACACATTCAATTCGTTGTGTCTGAAGAATGTCAGATACAATACTGACCTGATGATTCATTTCAGGCACGTGCTGGAATTCAAGAAGTCCATTTCCTTCCATTCAATCCCACTGATAAAAGAACTGCGCTTACATACGTAGATGGGGAAGGCAAGATGCATCGAGTGAGCAAAGGCGCTCCTGAGCAGGTTATACACCTTTCATTGTTTTACCTTCTCTTATGGTCGTTACCTTGAGGTACACGCAACATATTTTCATTTTTCCAGATTTTGGCTTTGGCACACAACAAAGTGGAGATCGAGAAAAGGGTACATATGGTTATCGATAAGTTTGCAGAAAGAGGCCTAAGATCACTTGCAGTTGCCTATCAGGTGACAGACAGACAGATAGATAACTACACTTGCATTAATGGGAAACCTCTCTGATGAATACAGACATAACAGTCTGGTTTCTGTACAGGAAGTACCAGATGGTGATGTTAAAAGCCAAGGTGGTCCTTGGGAATTAGTAGGCCTTCTTCCTCTGTTTGACCCTCCTCGCCATGACAGTGCTCAGACAATCGAGAGAGCTCTTCTGCTTGGAGTCAGTGTTAAAATGATCACAGGTAATGTCTTTTCCTAGCGCCATTTCTTCAACCTTGAATTCGTTTACTCATAGTGGTAATTTACTAAATTCTGGCAGGTGACCAGCTGGCAATTGCCAAGGAAACAGGAAGAAGGCTTGGAATGGGCGCAAACATGTACCCGTCTTCATCTTTGCTCGGCGAAACCCATATCGAAGCAGATTCAGCAATCCCCATTGATGAACTCATTGAAAATGCAGATGGGTTTGCAGGTGTCTTTCCTGGTGAGTAACTTGTTTCTCTGAACTACATTCAATCGCCTTGATCTTAAAGCAATGTTCAGGTAAGGAAAAGATTTCTGATTGTTTCGCCTTTGGTAGAGCACAAGTATGAGATCGTAAGGAGACTCCAAGCCAGGAAGCACATATGTGGAATGACTGGTGACGGAGTGAATGATGCACCGGCTCTGAAGAAAGCTGATATCGGAATCGCTGTGGCGGATTCCACTGACGCTGCCCGCAGTGCTTCTGACATTGTTCTTACAGAACCTGGGCTTAGTGTTATCATCAGTGCTGTCTTGACCAGCCGTGCAATCTTCCAGAGAATGAAAAACTATACGGTAACCCTACTCGATAAATCGTATAAGTATGTCTACAAAAAACTTAGCTTGATCGTTTTCCTTTTCATTTTGCAGATCTATGCTGTTTCTATCACTATACGTATAGTGGTAGGCTTCCACTTCTCTTTTACACTGAGAAAACAATTTCTGCTATTACATCTCTTCACATTTCACTTATGTCTTGTGTAACAGTTGGGTTTCATGCTTCTGTGTGTCTTCTGGAAATTTGACTTCCCTCCTTTCATGGTTCTAGTAATCGCAATTCTTAACGATGGTTAGTTTCCGTTAACTTCTCGTTGATCCAGAGGAGGGTTTCACTTCTTATATCTGATATAAATGGTTTTTGAAAGGTACTATAATGACCATATCCAAGGACAGGGTCAAGCCTTCTCCAACTCCAGACAGTTGGAAGCTGAAGGAGATCTTTGCTACCGGCATTATCCTCGGAGGCTACATGGCCCTGATGACAGTTGTGTTTTTCTGGGCATCTTATGAAACTAACTTCTTCCCTGTAATAATATTACACATTACCCTTTCCTTGTTTCTAATTCCCGACTACTCCCCAGTTCAACTCTTATAGATTAATGTTGTTTTCTTTCCCATGTGGTAGAAAATTTTCGGTGTGAGGAACTTCAACAGGCACCATTTCAACATGACAGACAAGGCAGTGGCCACTCACTTGAATGAACAGATGGCTTCTGCAGTGTACCTTCAAGTCAGCACCATTAGTCAGGCGCTGATCTTTGTGACCCGATCAAGGAGCTGGTCATTCATCGAGCGCCCTGGTTTTCTTCTTTTAATTGCTTTCCTCATCGCTCAGCTTGTGAGTTCCCTTTGACTTGATATACTATATACTGTCCTCTTCCGACATCTTCAATGGAAAACTGCGATACCATTTTCTACACTGTTTAATGGGATTCAATGCGTTTTTCCAGGTTGCTACGGTCATATCAGCAAGAGCAAACTGGGAATTTGCGGGGATTAGAAGCATAGGATGGGGTTGGACAGGAGTTATCTGGATATACAACATGGTAACTTACTTGTTGCTTGATCCTATCAAGTTTGGTGTTCGTTATGCGCTCAGTGGACGGCCATGGATTCAAATGTTTGATCAAAGGGTGAGTGAGTAGACAAGCACATGTTGTAAGTTTTTACTTCACGAAGAGAGAGCGTAGCAAAATGCAGTGAATGCGACTTATTTGCGATTGTTGCCAGATTGCACTCACGGGAAAGAAGGATTTCGGAAAGGAAGCACGAACGGCGGCATGGGCGGCCGAGAAGCGTACACAGCATGGTCTTCGAACTCCGCCTAGAAACCCTTCTACGGATCTGAACTTTATGGTCGAAGAAACCAAAAGGCGAGCCGAACTTGCGAGGTTGATCTCTCTAAAGATCTGAAACATTAGTACAGTCATTCATAGTCTTGTATCCTATATATGATGGAACTAATCTCATGTTCTTGTTTTCCTTTTCTTGATCGATGAACTTGCAGACTGAGGGAGCTTCAGACACTGAAAGGAAAAGTGGAGTCGGCGGCCAAACTGAAGGGCTACGATATGGATGATGCCAACTACAACAACTACACCATCTGATTCTCCCATTTGTCTGGATATTTCTGTATTCCTATCTGCATTCTTCTTGATATCAACAGTGAACCTAACTGAGAATGTTGGAGAATGTGTTTGCGTTTCTTTTACTTCAACCTGCCGCCTTGTTTTCCAAAACTGCTGTGTCAGTCTTTTGATTGAGTTTGCAAAGACAGCCTTTTGTCGGATTTTAAGAAATGGGTAGACTTCATGTTGGAAACTCTGCTCATGGAGGGAAACAGGACCCATTCATTGGTAGACTTTATGTTGCAGAACTTGGCTTGATTGCTAGAACTGACGTCTGCCATGGGGGGAAGCAAGCTTTTTGCTGGTTTGCCATGTGGAAAGCTCGTGGCTTTTCTCTCAAGTATAATGAGAAACCCTACCAAAGCACCAAGGTTTTGTCTCAGTTGATACATGAACCATTTACGAGTCCGGTTAGATAGATGTGGAGAGGGAGAGAGAAAAGATCGAAGCTTTTTTGCAGGTCTCCAATGTCAGATTGCCACTTGTAAGAACATTTCAAAGAGAGACGAAAGAAGAATATATTGCCTCCTTTACCAAAAAAAAAAAAAAAAAAAAAAAAAA